CGCAGGTAGAGCTTAGGCTCGTAAACTCTTTTCTTCTCGGGATCTTCGGGCTTTAGGACTTGCTTCGGGTCTCGGGATGATACCAGGGATTCGTGGGTACTTCTTTGCATGTAAATCGAGGTAATATGGGTGAGAGAAGGGTGAATTAGCAACCTTGGCCGGCTACCCCTTCAAATCTATTTATAGGGCAAATTTCTCATTTTCCACGTCGTGGGCACTTTTTCCACGTCGTGGGATTGGTCGTCACTGCATACATCATCGCAAGTTGGGTCCGACAGACTCCAGGAGGCGTCAGAAAACATGCCATGTTGTGGGCACTGTTTGCACGTCGTGGCCACTAACACAACTTTGGGGTTCGCGCCCCGAACTTTAGAAAGTCATAACTTTCGCATACGAACTCCGCTTTCGACGTTCTTTATATCGACTCGTAGGTGAGAATATGCTATACAACTCTTATTTAGACTCTGTTGGCTAATTTTGACTTTATTTTCAATATATTATAATTATATTACTTTTATATTATTTTTAGTAGCCTGAGACAGGAAAACTCAATTAGAAATTCATAACTTCTTCATCCTACGTCAGTTTTCTTCTGTCTTTTTACCGTTGGACTACTATCGACGAGATCTTCGATTATCGTTTAGATTGTTTCGGCTAAAAATCACTCGATCTAATATTCGAGTATTCCAGCTGCATACCGCTAAGTCGAAACTTCGGAAAATCATAACTTCCTCATACAAAGTTAGATTTGGGCGTTCTTTTTATGTACGCTCTCGGTTTAACATATTCTAAGACTCTCGTTTAGATCCCTAAGGCTAGATATCGATCTATCTTAAATTCATATTTTACGTCATTCAGCGTCGTGTCGGTTCTGTCGCGAAACTTCGATAGGCCATAACTTCTTCGTTATAACTCGGATTTCGGCGTTCTTTATATATTTGTAAACCTTGTGAAATATACTACAACTTAGTTAAGATTACTCCTTCTAAATAATCTTCCATTAAAAAGCAATTTTGATGCTCATTGTCTCTAAATTGACTAGCCCTGATATACGTGCGTTACAATTATCTCCCTCTTAGGATGATTATGTCCCGGAATCATCAACAAAATAGGACTTGTATAATGATTCCATATGTTATCTCTTCATCCTAGGTAATAACTGTAAGTTCTATGTTTCCTCGAAAGAGTATCTAACTCTAGGACTTCCCGATGGCAGGTAGTGCTCAATCCTGCATCTACCCTTCGTATTATGTTGGAATTTCAATCTTAACCTTCGAGTTAATAAATCCTTACTAAGAGCTCCTTCGTATTCTTAGAATAAGTACTTTCTTTTATCTATTGTAACAGATCGATGAGTTATGTTCTAATGACCTCTAATAGTATGATGCAACGCTTAGACTCAGGTCTCTTAGAGTCAAATTCCATAATGGAATATATCTTCCTTCATATTCTAATGTGATCTAATCACATTTTTACATGTAGCATTTCTAGCTACAAGGTTCCTTAAGAACGAGCGCGATGCTATCGATCGCATTGATTTCAATCTTTTGACTTGAGTTAGATGCTACCTTGAACTTGGTTCTATGAACCACGTAACAAACTCATCGTAGTCGGACTCAATTTGATATGACCGCTAAGGTCAGAATATCAATCATCTTCTTAGTTACTACCGAAACAATGGTAACGACATACTTAAATAAAAATAGAATCAATCACTAGATTCTTGGTAACCTTGTGACTTTCCCTGATCCAAGCGTGAGTCCTGTGCTTCCAACAGTATAGATCTCTACCACTATTCACACCTAATCATACTTGTCCCATGTATTATCTCGCAGTCCCCAAGTCCTAAAATCACAAAACAATTTAACACATACGAATGTGTCCAATTAATCATACTAATTTTCCTAGACTCTACTAGGACTTCTTCCATGCGTATCTTCAATCATCATTTCTAATTTAACTCGGTTGGTGATGGAAATTCCAAACGATGGGAAAACTCCAAGAATTACACCAATCGTTCCATCATCCTGCCAATCGAAGGTGTACCTCAGACGTACCGTACTCCTCTAAACGTTCCGTTATTTTACCAGACATATTCTAAAGGCAAGATACCACTCCTACGATATCTTCCGATAGGTGTCGTTCACTATCATAAGCCTTTCATTTCTCTATTTTCTCAATTGTCTACGAGTCTCCACCATAACGCATTGTACACCCAAGCAGACGTTCTGTGTACCGGGCGAGAATTTAAGATAATAAAGCTTTATTTATGATAGACGTATAAATCTCCTTATCACTCCGAAATGTTTACATGCTAGTTCTAATTTCGTAGTCCTACGCTTAGAATCTTAAACACATAAGGTTTCCAGATCTGGTCGGCAATAGACCATAGGTTCAAATAAACAATTTCATATATGGCAAACATATAGCATTTAGCACATAAAAGCATTTTAGGCATCTTTCCTAAAATATACTAGTTCTCGTGTCTAAAATATGGTAGACACTAATCTCACAATCATCGCTTAGTAGTCTAAGTTTAAGTCTATAAATCCTAAAAATTCCTAGTTCGCTTAAACTAATGCTCTGATACCAACCGTGACATCCCTAATTTCTCGACCAGAAAAGACCGATTTATTTATGCTTTGTTTTTAAAATTAAAGTAATCGTTTAAAGATAACTGTTGCGGACTTTGTTCCCAAAACAAAATGTGATAAGAATTTATCAAAGCATCTCTTTAAAGAAATGTATTTTCATTAAATAAAATTTTTTCAGGATGTCATGTTCCGATACAGAGACCAAAAGCATAAACAATATAAAATAGACCTTACAACAGTTATTTATAACTACTGATCTATAATCCAAAATCTCTCGTCAAGTCCACCAACTTATACCCTTGTGCCATTACCTATAATGCAAAGAAAACTGAGTGGGTCAGGCTTGGGATCCTGGTGAGCATATATGGTTTTCAACCCACAATAATATAATTATTATATTCAATCATCAAACAATCAACCTAATTACCTATCCCCATTATCTTTGTTTAATCTTCCCTAAAGATATTATTGCAAGGGTCATCTCCTATATCATATTTACCTCTCATCTCCTTACATCTTATTTCCATATATGTTTGTTCCTAAGAACTTTTCCTAAGGATCATCGCCTACATCACATACACAATACTAATTCGGGGATCACTCCCTCAATATGTGTCTAGTAAGGCTTAGGGTGTCATCGCATGATTACGCAGCCACAACATCGCCTGGACTCGTAAATCATAATAAGGGTTAGACTATCATCGCATGAATACTCAGCCACAACATCGTCTGGACTCGTAATTCATAATAAGGGCTAGACAATCACCGCATGAATACATAGCCACAACATCGTCTGGACTCGTAAATCATAATAAGGGTTACACTATCATCGCATGAATACGCAGCCACGACATCGCATGGACTCGTAATTCATTACCTATCTATCATCACCTAATTATCATCACTATTATATCCTCACCTATCTCTTATCACATTATTTCATCACACACCAACTATTTCATCTACCCATGTTCTACCCACCATATTTGTAGATATAAATTACATATAAAGTTTAAAACTATTTAAAAACTTGTATAAAACATTAATTCAACATCCATCTCAAGTAAACAACAATATATAAACACATAACACGTAATCCATTGCAAATACTTCATATCTATGTGTTAGAAGAAAGTAACTACACAGTCACCTGATCAGAAGATGATCGGACAGCACTACGACTCTAAGAGTAGTATTTCTTCGGTGAAACTAGAAGATCTTCACACACCGGGCTTCTCGTAGGCAGAGCTTCGGCTCGTAAACTCTTTTCTTCCCGGGATCTTCAGGCTTCGGGACTTGCTTCGGGTCTCGGGATGATATCGGGGCTTCGGGGGTACTTCTTTGCACGTAAATCGAGGTAATATGGGTGAGAGAAGGGTGAATTAGCAACCTTGGCCGGCTGCCCCTTCAAATATATTTAAAGGGCAAATTTCTCATTTTCCATGTCGTGGGCAATTTTTGCACGTCGTGGGCTTGGTCGTCATTGCATGCGTCATCGCAAGTTGGGTCTGGTAGACTCCAGGAGGCGTTAGAAAACATGCCACGTCGTGGGCACTGTTTCCACGCCGTGGCTACTAACACAACTTTGGGGTTCGCGCCCCAAACTTCAGAAAGTCATAACTTTCGCATACAAACTCCGTTTTCGACGTTCTTTATATCGACTCGTAGGTGAGAATATGCTCTACAACTCTTGTTTAGACTCTGTTGCTAATTTTGACTTTATTTTCAATATATTATAAATATATTACTTTTATATTATTTTTAGTAGGCTGGGATAGGAAAACTCAATTATAAATTCATAACTTCTTCATCCGACGTCCTTTTTCTTCTGTCTTTTTACCGTTGGATTACTATCGATGAGATCTTCGATTATCGTTCAGATTGTTTCGGCTAAAAATCACTCGATCTGATATTCGAGTATTCCGGCTGCATACCGCTAAGTCGAAACTTTGGAAAATCATAACTTCCTCATACGAAGTCAGATTTGGGCGTTCTTTTTATGTACGCTGTCGGTTTAACATATTCTACGACTCTCGTTCAAATCCCTAAGGCTAGATATTGCTCTATCTTAAATTTATATTTTACGTCATTCAACGTCGTGTCGGTTATGTCGCTCATTGTTATATACTACAACTTAGTTAAGATTACTACTTCTAAATAATCTTCCGTCAAAAATTCATTTTTGACGCCCAGTGTCTCTAAATTGACTAGCCTGATCTACGGGCGTTACACTACTAGATAGCTACTACTATTCGTTTACTTCATGTATCACATGGATTTGCTGGTATACTAAGAACTAAGAAAAAATATGGCTAAGGCATAGTATACATTGTGAGAATGACTTGTAGGGGTGTAAGGATTGATCTATATATGGAGTAGTATTTATATGGATGAATAACACAATGCATGTCGCGCCTAGAACAAATACGTGCTGCGCAATGGCTTGGTTGGCCCCCTCTGCAGATGACAAGTGTTCGATTTTGGTTGGTGCTTCGTCGTCCCTTCCAAAAGGTATGCACGTCGCGCACTGCGCGCGAGTCTCTTTTCATATTTTTAAAATTACGTATCTTCTTCATACGAGCTCCATTTTTAACGTTTTTAATAGAAAATTTCCACATATTTTCACATATAGGATTTACATATACAACATATATCACTGTCAAGAGGGAATTTCATAATTTGTTCGTATTTGGGTGATTTTTAGTTATTTCGATTCAAAAAATAAATAAATAAGAATTGGGTTATGCCATATATATGTAAGAGTATACAATAATGATGTATTTGCTGAATCAAATACCATGGTCTAATAATCAAACTTTCTGATTAGTTGATAATTTTACCACTATTTGGGAATCTTGTGAAAGGTTCTTGTAAAAAGTTTCGTTAACGCCTAATACATGTTGAGTAGACCTTGTTATTGTGAGAGTTCTTAATTCATGAGTTGTAAGGAGGGATTTATGTCACCATAAACAGAGACTAACGCAAGTGTTGGATTCAAAGTTAGTGTCAAAGATTATAATTGACTTATTATACTCCTGAATATGAAACCAAGGATACTGATATTTTGGAAGCATTTCGAGTAACTCCTCAACCTGGAGTTCCTCCTAAAGAAGCAAGGGCTGCAGGTAGAAATCTTCTACTGGCACATGGACAAATGTGTGGACTGATGGACTTACGAGCCTTGATCGTTACAAAGGGCGATGTTATGGAATCAAACCTGTTCTTGGAGAAGAAACTCAATATATTGTTTATGTAGCTTACCAATTAGAAGTTTTTGAAGAAGGTTCTATTACTAACATCTTTATTTCCATTGTAGGTAATGTATTTGGGTTCAAAGCCCTGTGTGCTCAACGTCTGGAAGATTTGCGAATCCCTACTCCGTATGTTAAAACTTTCCAAGGTTTGCCTCACGACATCCAAGTTGAGAGAGATAAATTGAACAAGTATAGTAGTCTCCGGTTGGGATGTACTATTAAACCTAAATTGGGGTTATCCCTAAAAAACTACAGTATAACTGTTTATGAATATCTTCGTGGTGGCCCTAATTTTAATAAAGATGATGAGAATGTGAACTCTAACCATTTATGCGTTGGAGAGACCGTTTCTTATTTTGTGCCGTTTATGAATATTTTTAAAAGGATACCATTTTGGTAAATATCTTTTTAAAAACTCTAGATTTGACTGAAAAAAAATACATTGTCCATTTATAGAATTTTATTTTTAAGATAATAAATATAAAAATTAAGATTTAGTAGAGACTAAAAGTACCGGATACGAAGACCAATAACGTGATGGAGAACATCATCTTCAATAAAGTTTGCTCCATGTATTAAATAATTTAAAATATAGAAATATAAAAGTAATTTATATCAACATCAATACCATCATTGTTCTTTTCCAATATATATAGACTATTTGATAATTATGCTACCAAAAAATGACTTCCAATATGTCGTGACTAATTTAAATGTTCATAAATGATCGCAAATATTATTTTAGGAAATTTAACTAAATCTATTAACATTGCAAACATTATGATCGACTCTCTTAATAAAAAAGAGAAATTGAGTTATCAGAGTAATTATTTTTTCGTTTTATAAACATTCGGATAAACTTTTTTTATACATATCTAGGTAACAAACTTATTAGAAGTGTTCACATATATGATCATTATGATTAGCTGTAACTTACTATAATCGGTTATATATGAACACTTCCAACAATTTCGTTATATATATATATATATATATATATATATATATATATATATATATATATATATATATATATATATATATATATATATAAAAGTTAGCTAGATATAAACAAAATAAACAAAAAAATAAAAAGATAATAAGAAAATTTCCCACACAATATTCTACATCCAAAAAGCAAAACACACTTGATAACTTTTAAGTGTAACGGAAATACATAATGATGTATTTTTACTTAATAAATTAGCATAGAAACATCCACTTTATACTTTTATCCTTCATCGCTCTTTTTGTTTCAGAGTTGGTTCTGTTGTCGCTAATTCTTCTCCGGCGCCGATTCTCCCCAAACCGCCGATTGCTATTTGTTCACATAATCCCTTCGCTGCAACTCGTCTTCAGCTCGCTTAGTCGTCGCCCATTTCATCTGACCTTTCTTCCACGTTCATCGCTGCCCAGGTAACTCTCTGGTAAAAACCCTAGTTATTACAATCAAATTGTGGTAATCATGTTTTTGTTTATTTCGTTGATTTTCGTGAGTTCCCTGATCTTGCGACTCGCCACATTTCAATAATTTTGATAATTTATCTCCCCCTGAGATCAAAGCTATGTCTAGTCGTCTACCACTTGTCCCAAAGCCGTTTTTGAATTTCGATTTGTGGTTTTTGTTTCTTGGTTATATCTGTCAAAATTTCCTCAATCGATATCGCATACTGCATCTTACCCCCTTAAATTGTATCTATATTGTTCTTCTGCGTGTAGATAGATGAAAGATATGGTGTTTGTAACTGATGGTTGTTTCTGTATACACTGTTCAAAGATCGATTCTCTTTAACTGGGATTTCTTTATTTTCCAAAAAAGATTCACCATATAGTAATTTTCATCGCACTAACATTACCAAAACATTCTCAATCTAATCTTTTTTCCTTTAGGTATGGAACGTTGCAGTGAATCAAAACGAAATAGGGTTAGTTGGAAAAACGTGAATGTCGCAAAAACGTTTCTTGATGCATGTATTAACGAAATCGCCATCAATGGACGTGAAGGTGGTAGTTTAAAACGAATGTCATGGAAGAAAATTGGGCAAACACTTGGAGATAACCATAACTTTTCAGTCGATCGAAAACAATTGAAAAACCATTTTGATTACCTCAAGAACAAATATGGAGCATGGTTAGATCTTAAAAACAAATGTGGCAACATTTATGATGCATCCACTAACACCTTTAATTTGACAGATGAAGAATGGGAAAATGAAATAAAGGTAGTTTTCATTAATCATTAATCATTAATCATTAGTTTATTACACTCTTACTTATATATATATATATATATATATATATATATATATATATATATATATATATATATATATATATATATATATATATATATATATATATATACATATATTCATTGATTTCTATTTGTTATAGAAAAATAAATATGTAGAAACATTAAGGAACACATCTCTACTATTTCCGGATCTTTGTGCACAACTTTTTGATGGAGTGATGACAAATGGGATTAAAAGTTTGGAACCGATTTCTGCTGAACCTATAACAGCAATTGTGGTTAAAGATGATGAAGAGATTGAAATCCCAAAAGATACAATGGATTCATTATCATCTTCATCATCAGATCCTCCACCTCCTCCAGTTAAAAAGAAACAAAAAATGAGTAAAAAATCGATTGATGAAGAAATATTGGGTGTGTTGAAGATAATAGCAGATAAGATGAGCAAATCTGAAACACCTCCAAAACCTACATTTGAAGAATGTGAAAAGAAGTTGAAAAAGCTTGGGTGGAGTGAAGATGATCCTTTACATGTTGTTGCATGTGCGATATTTTGTGAAGAAAATGATAATTATAAGGAATGTTGGATGAAATTAAACCCTAAGATGTGTGCTAATTGGGTTAAAATGATTGGACGTAGTAAAGGGTTTATATAGTTTGGAGAGTTGTGGTGTTTTTCTTTTAGGAAATTACTAATTGTTGGGAAAGTATTGATATGTAGATGAGATGAGATGAGAATGAGAACTATTTTATGTTTTGGATTAAATTGCAAGAATGGTCCCTATGTTATAGTGAAAGTTGTAGGTTTAGTCCAAACTTCTTTTTGTTGCATTCTTGGTGTTAAGTATCGATTTCGCTTTTGTTTTTGAGATCCATTGAATGAAGTTGAAAATATTTGAAATCATGAAAGTTATTAAGTCGAATACCGTATAGACAATAAATCAACATTGGTTATAATTATGATGAGTCTTCAAATATCATGGGGAGAGTTGAGGGAGAAACTACTAATTGAGAATTATCATATTTGGTAACTATAGAATCATGTTCTTATGACTTCCTCTTGTTTTTGAGGAAGAAGATAATGAATCATCTTCTTTAAGGATGTTGCAATTGGACAATTGGTATTTGGCAAGTAGCAAGGCAAAGCAAATTGGCAAATCCACTAGCCACTTCCCAACTCTATCCACTTACCATTTGGGCTTTTAGCTATTTCAAAGCAAACCAAGTCAAATGTTCATTGTGTGTTTGAATATTCTATAAACCAAAATAAACATATCTTTCAAGTGTGATGCTTTTAGGTTTTAAAACCACAAAAAATATTAAATCAAATTAAGTAGTATCAAAAAAATATTAAACCAAAATGAACAATAAAAGTATATTTGTTTGAAAATCCAAAAAACAAATTAACGATCAATCTACTCTTTTCTTTATGTTTTCCGATCTTGTTTGTGTATTGCTTCTTCTATATCTATATAAAAACAAAAAAATGTAGTTAGTATTTTGTAACAGTAATTTATGGTTTATATCAAATAAAACAAAAAATATTATGAAAATTGAAACTAAATAGCAAATGCTATGTCATCATCTTTAAAGATATGGTCAATATATTTATAATTGGTTTCTTTAATTTTGTAACTCAATATTGAGTGAAAAACATATGCGACTGCAATTCCTAAGTGACAACTTAGATGCCACGGTGGACAATTGTATGCCCAAAATATCTAACAACAAAATGATTAAAAATTATAAGACGGTTATTTTATAAATAAACTTGAAAATCCATTAAAAAGTATCATAAATTACCTTTGGCTATCCGAACAACAATAGGGTAACACGACACGTTTTGTTTTCGCCACTTGGAGATGCCAAACTCTTTATTTTAAGGTTCTCTGTGCTCATTTAAATACATTTTATTCTCGGTATACATTGAAACCGAGTTGGTTCCTTCGGCATTTTGGAAATCACCCAAAAAGTCATTATCTTCATCACAAGCCATTACTTCATGTTTTTCTTATTAAGTTGGTCAATGATTGTCAATTTTTTTCTTGTTATAAATAAACACTCCATCTTCTTTTCAACCTCTCAAACCATTGACGTCACCTTCAATTGTAAGGCCGGATTTGACGTTGGATTCTCTTCTTAAAGTGCTTTTGTTTTTCATGGTTTTCTGATTCTTTTGCACCTAGCGATGTGTCTAAGTAAGATAAAGGTGTCGTTACATACATATCGATTTTAAGAATGGTTGAGCAAAAACTTACATTTAACAATTTTCTTTTTCACTCCATCATAATTTTCTATCCAAACTACCTCGAAAGTTTTCCAATAATCTGATTTCTCTTTGCGTACGTTTGGTTCCTGTTTTCTTTTGTTGTATTATGGCACATTCTTTTCATTTTGCCTATCATAATCGTCATCAACATTAACATGGGGTTAGGGTCAATGAATAAATCATCCTCCTAAGAAGAAAAAAGTTACAGTATTAGAATTCTTTTTTGATTATGGAGTTAAAACATTAAAACATTAAAAAGTTACGACATTATAATTCTTTATTGATTACAACATCAATGAAGTTAAACATTAGCACATCAAGAAATTATAACATTAGAGTTCTTTGTTGATTATGTAGTTAAAGCATTACATCGTCAAAAAGTTACAGCATTATAATTCTATATTGTTTCTTATTGAAAGTTTAGAGGGTTATGCCCCCTTGTGGGGTCCTAGGGAGTAGCGCTCTTAGAAGGGTTCAAGGGGGAAGTGCCCCTTATGACATTCTATGATTATGAGATATAATTAACATTTAATGTTGATTGATCAATTATCTTTGGTAATTAGAAGAGTTTGAATTTATATAAATATATTGTTCATGATTTCTTAATAGTTCATTGATCTAAAATTGTTCCTTGAATGATTATACTATAATTTGGATTTCATGATACTCTTATATAAGGTCAAAATATTAGACTAGTAAGTGTTCTACATGATCCTTGATTACATAAACCACACACTATTCCTCCCTAACCCAACATAGTCATGTTTCTTGTATGACTTGAAGATTATAGGGCGACAACATTTAATACTCAATATGATCTCAAGTTGTAATGCGAAATATAGAGGGTCGATAGAGGAATGTGTTGAACTGTTTCACTAAATCCAAGACACATTGTGACAATTATTTGGAGGGATTTGATTATGTGTTCCTCAAATTTGAGGATGTGATTCAAGTTATGGAGTGTATTATATTAACATATTAAACACATGTTAAATTGATAAAGTCTTGAGTTAGATAGTCATCATAGATTTACCTTATTTACAGGAGTATGTATCTCATCTTCTAGTTGCAATTTCTCTGTTTAAATATGTGTATATCATATGAATACATACAAAAGCAATTCTATTCACCACATGGTATCAGAGCTAACCTTATAGTTCTATATCAATTTGTTATCAATCATCTACAATGGCAATAGGAGCTCCAACTCTGTTAGCCTTAGCCACCACCACCACCACCACCACCGCATCCACTCTAAACTTTCAAATTCCCTCAATTGTTGTCAAGCTTGATCATGAAAACTATTCATTGTGGCATACCACCATTATCGTTTCCCTAGAAACTTTTAATCTTGAAGAATTTGTCCTAAATCCATCTCCACCACCAGAAACTATCACTGTTCCAGCCATCGAAGGAACACCTGCTACTGCTACTGCACCCGCCATTCCAGCCACTCCAGAAACCACTGATCCTAATCCGGCGTACATCACATGGAAGAAAAGATCACTTCGTGTTATTATGGCTACAATCGACACTCTCTAAGAAATCCCTAGCCATTTTTAATCGCTGCAATTCTTCTCATATGGCTTAGCAAACCATCGACATATCCTTTCAAGCCTAAACATGGGCTTCCAGAATGCAAATTAAGGCCCAAATCCAATCCATCTCCAAGGGGTTCATGACCATGATGGACTATATTGACTGTAAGCGATCAATTTTAGACTCCCTTCCTGCAAATCTCAATCCCATATCTGATGTAGACTTCATTGGTTATCTCTTAAATGAGCTAGACTCCTCCTACGTACCTTTTATCACTGCTATTATGATGAAAACGAAACTTATGTCTGTCGATGATCTTACAGGACTGCTACTCCAAGAAGAAACGAGGATTAAACAAGATCATATTTGCTAAAACTTTGTTCAAACCAGTTTTGCTGCTGCCCTCATTGTCAATCACTCTCCAAATAGATTAAATGGCTCCTCCAACAATCATAACTCTAGTTCATCTTCAGGAAATCACAATACTGATCCTAAGAGACATCAACCCCTATGCCAACTCTGCAACATGCAAGGTCATGAAGCTATAGATTGTTGGCAAAGAGAAAATCAAACTAATTTCCCCTCTCATCGACCTAATCCGCGAAACCAGTCCCGTCAAGCCCACATCTCTCAACACTACAACCCCTATGATGTCTTTGATCCTAAATGGTATTTGGATTCAGGGCTACAATCATGTGTCACGTGATCTACAGAAACTCAATGTTGCAGATGAGTACAAGGGGGATGACAAACTACAAGTAGGAAACATTAACCAGTTGTCTATTTCTCATGTTGGTTCATCTTCTCTGCCTAATATACATTTGCCAAACATGCTTATTGTACCTAAATTAACAAAAAAACTCCTTAGTGTTTCTAAATTAACTGATGATAATAATGTCTATGTTGAACTATGTTCTAAACATTGCAATATTAAGAACTTGCAGGGACAAACACTTCTTCGAGGGGACGTCAGTGATGCACTATACCGGCTGTCCCATAACCAAATAAATCGCTCCAAGCATCCTCATGTAGTTTTCATGGGCATTAAGTCCTCTCTTCAAGGATGGCATGGATGACTTGCTCCTCCCAATGAACCTATTTTAAGATGCTTAGTTTCTTCATTTAATCTTCCATTGTTATCAAATAAACTCCCATCTGTTTGTGATTCATGTCAGATGAGTAAATGTCATCGTTTTCATATTTCTTCTAGTCATGTAGCTTCTACAAAACCTTTTGAGTTAGTTTATTCGGATGTTTGGGGTCCTTCCCCTGTTTTTTCATTGAATAGAAACATATATTTCCTTCTCTTAATTGATGCTTGCATAAAATTTGTATGGATCTATTAATAAACCCCAAAACCACAGGTTTTCTCTATGTTTCAAGAATTTCATACCATGATCAAAACTAAGTTCTCCTGTGACATTAAAAGCCTACAAACTGATTGGGGTGGTAAATTTCAAAATGTGTCATCCTTTGTTAAAACCCTTGGCATCATTCACCGTGTTTCTTGTCCCAACACACAATAACAAAATGTTGCTGTAGAACGTCGAAATTGAATAATTGTTGAAAAAGGTTTGACACTCTTAGCTCAGTCACCTCTTCCCCAGCTGTTTTGGGAACATGCCTTCAAAACTGCAACCTATCTACACAATCGTACCATCACCCATGTGCTCAGTAATGCATCTCCATACCAAAAACTTTATAACAAAACGTTAGATTATGATTTTCTGAAAACATTTGGTTGTCTGTGCTACCCCTTTCTAAGGCCCTACAATAAATATAAAATTGATTTTAGATCCTTACCATGCATCTTTCTTGGTTATAATGAAACTCACAAAGGTTATTTATGCTTATATCAACCCAAAAACCGCATCTACATCTATCGCCATGTTGTCTTCAATGAAGACATCTGTCCCTACACCGCCTTTACACCCATCAAGTCCGTCTCCACCTCATCACCGCCTAACACCTCTAAAACAATTCTTCAACATGCCTATGATCTACGACCTTCCCAACTATTATCCATGGTCGCTCCACCTTCA